CATCGTATCCGGTTACTTAAACTACCGCGTGTCATGTGTACACATAAAAACATCAAAGCCGAATGAATGGACTCTCATTGTTGAAACCACAAGGGGGACATGCGTGACACGCATCTCTACGCGTCCCTATGGTCATCAGTGTACAGGCTGAAAAAAAACCACATAGCTGGACCTCAGGCATGATGGCGCCTTGGGAATCTTGAGTGAGTTTACAGTTGTGTCGTTTGTGCGCTGGTTATGGAAGTGGCCCCGTTATTCACTTCCATAAACACACCAATGTTCAAACACGGACACGACCACCGGAAAATATATCCAGTTTGTTTTGGTCTACCATCGATCTGTCTCCGCAGGATAACTAGTTCGGCGGCGATGATTGGTCGGTCTCCGTTACGGAGTAGACTAAGCGACTCAACACGTTTGGTAAGCAGTAAGTTGCTGTGACCATGTGCTATTGAGCTAATGATGATCCCAGTGGCTACCTGTAAAAATCCAGGAGCTTGTCGTGATTTTCCACGGTTTTTACATTTCTAAATGTATTTACTGATGATCGCTCAGTCATATCTGACCTTCGCCAATAGTGCGAACTTGGCAAAGTCAGATGAGACTGAGTGGTGCAACGGCGGACAGAGATGATCCATCAAGTGACCTGGAACAGTATGCTTGTCTTCCACGTTCAATCCATTGTCGGCCTAAAACGACCAACCATAGGACATTCGCATCACATTAGCTGAATAGAAGATGAGAATGCATTCGCGGAATTTACTACATCGCACCCACGTCTGCTCAAGCGATTTGCCCACGGCAAGAGGGAAGCAGTGGACCGCAATTCCATGCTTATCGAAGCACCCGAGATTACCAATTTTTTAAAATAAAAAACGATAACCCACAATACGCTCCAATTAATGTGGAACCAATGCTTTCAATGGATTCCAATCGAATTGAACAAAAATACGGGACATTTGAATCAGGGATGAGAATGGTTCGATTAGTTTTCGGGTAGACTTATTCACTCATTAATGTGTCTCGTAATTAAGTTTTGGTATGGTGACGTGAACCACCAATGCACCAAGACACCTGCGTTTGGTACCCACTATTCAAAGATCAGAGTGGTTTCATTAGGGTGCTTCAAGCCTCATCAAATTAGTTCTGATGTCACATCATTCAAGCGGCGCATTTCGAGTGGATCTTCGGGTATTTTCGTAGCATACCGAAATTTATCCTGGCTTCATCTCACTTTCTTAGTCCGAATCAAGAGCCGGATTTATTTTCTCGATGATTTGAGCGGCAAGCCTTACGCGCGCACATAATTTAGAACACTTAAAGAGACGTTTAGAAGTGGCACAAAACCATTTTTAGAGGAATGTAACCGAACATAACACTAATTTTGTCTCACACATCATGGAATCTGGGGTCCAACAAGCAGGATGTTTTAGAAGCAGTGGAGAACATCACAATTGCTTTCTCTTCCGGTTATTGATTCATTTTAAAAGTGAAATCATTCCGGCGTGGTTACCTCAGTCTGAATATTGAAATTGCGTCTACAGAGAAAGTGGAGGATTTGGATCATGCAGACCTTGTTTTGGTAATCATCCGTACAAACTACTCTAAATATAACATCGGAAGTAATCCCGTGTTTCGGCATAAGTTTACCAAGTTTCAAGTACCATTTTATCTGGCTTTTCCACGCTTTCGTATCCTTGATAAAATTCGGAATGAGGAGCTTGAGTTTGCCAACTTTGTAAGCTGAGGAAGTCTGGTTGTGCTGTAACAGGTAAAGCCACAAGAGCGACATTCATCTACTTATTTCATTTAAGGTGTCAGTAACGAATTCCCTGAAATCTTAAGTTTATACAAGACAACTGTAAGAGCAAAGTTTGCTTCGTCATTCCGAAATTTCACCACTTTCCCGGAATCCATAGGCCTTAGACGCCCTCAAGAGTTCGAGATAGCTCAGTGGTTAAGGCGCCAGCATATATATATATATATATATATATACCGAATATTTTGTCACCGGTGTATTCGTACCGCAGCATGAGCTAACTGATTTCAGTGTGCACTTGAAGTATTGCGTAAGCGAAGCTTTGGTAACAGGCCACGGGCTGTGTTTGCGGCATGTACACCCTCAATCGCCACCTAACGATAAAACCGCTCGGTGTTTTTCATTTCAGACCCCTGCAGGCACAAAGTTCGCAGACTGTGTAAAATGGTACACAATAGTTTGCAGGCATGCTGTGACATCCCAGCCGGATCGCACAGTTGTAGTTTGTCGTGCATTTGATTTATTTTAAGTGAGGATGTTACCCTAAGCCCATTGATGGCGTCTTATTTGTATATACTGTTTAGAGGTGGTATTTTGAGTGCTGATCCAAGGTTATTGATAGTTTTTCCCAAAGATATGGGAATCCTCACACCAGGTCCCTACGCGTCCCTTTTCTCTCCACTATTTGCTAGGTTGACTAGCAATGTATTGCTAGTGTATTGTTGTCGATGAGGATAACGATGAAGATAAACACTATGTGAAATTTACCTTCAAATGACCGCCCGTGTCCAATATTGGGATTAGTTTATCGGATCGCTTGCGTCTGGTCTCGACGTGCCTAGTTGACCGACTCATCATTTTTAGTGGATTGATAGTGGGTTGAGACACAGCTGCACACTACGCCATCAGTTTCACCTACTTTTCTCGGATTCCATTAACCTAAGACACTCAACTCATCAAGGTAATGAGCTGGTTTTATAATCAGCCTCGACTTGATACTCGTAGACCCGTTAAAACATCACATCACATTTGTTGCTACCACCCAATCATGTTGTATACTAAGAGGGCGTGAACCGCCATTGGGGTAGCTTCGAACTCTGGGAGAACCACAATGATCCCACCAACCCGGCAATAGGGATAGAGGCGTTTCCACATTGTCAAACCACCTATCCTACTTAACTCTCACAAAAATGATTCAAGAACTGAACGTGACACTTGCGATCTCTGCTCATTTGATTCTGTGCTGTATGTATTTATACTCAACAAAGGTGATCTTAGACCACTTGTTAGACGCTTTGAACTGCACGGCCAGATAAAATGACGTCTTCATGGTCGAGTTACTAGTCACCCGGGTACATACCACCTTGGGCACTTTCTGTTTCGTTTTATTGAGCGCTGTAATGATCCCCTGGTTTTCTCCGAGCCCCACTCAAAGCGATTGGCCGTAAAATTGTCCGCCGATATTTTCTGTAGAGAAAATTTCGTTGCAGGGCATCTTTTGTCTATTCCGGCACATATGTAAACACATAATTGCAACCAACACTATTATTTACGACTTATGTACCATCTCTTAGAGTTATGCGAACTGTGGTTTGTCTCATATTGCAGATGAAACCAGTGAGCGCATGTGGAGTGCAGCTTGTGCTCAGTTATCGACAGGGACAATGAAGCAACCTTACCATAGTTTCGCTCTTCAAAACATGCAGCAAGACGTTTTATACCTGCCAAAAATTGGTCAAGTACTCACCAAGCGGATGTCCCTGATGATGTCCGCTGAAAGCCTTAAAATGAAATAACAAGAAGGAGATAGAGAAAAATAGCTGATATCCAACAGAGTTTTGTGCCCGCCATAACAATTTTGAGGGTGAACTGAAATTGGTTGGACGCTGGAGCGAGTGCGCCTCAAATGCTCGTGAATATAATACGTTCGGTGTAGTCTTAGGCCTATGAGTGCGGACGGATTGCAGGAGGATGAAATCACTCAGAGAAAACGAAGCGCAGTCGTCTTCGAGAAAGTCAGTTATTCATCCCACCTATAGCCTGGGAGTACGCTCCAAGAAAAGCAGTCTCCGAGTACACCATTTCAAATTCGGCAACAATTCTTCTTTCCGGTGGTCCACACCACCCGAAATGGTGTTACAGATGACCAAGTTTTTATTTTTGTGTTTTATTTGGCTCCGATTCCTCCCTACGCGGAGCTTATCAGGTAGGCGCAGTGTCCGAGTTTCCGTGAAACTGATGTTCTGCTTGAACCCAAAATTACAGGAATATCATAAACCGGAGATTAGGCTAAGCCACTTTGGAAGAATTTTGAAGCCTTCATGTTTCTGACAACCGACACTGTTGGTATCGATGTCTAATCAATGAGGCGATCGGAAATTGGGATTCTGGGTAGCATAGCAGATAAGTTTGTTGAAAAATCACCCGTTAGCTAGCACAAACTAAAACTCCCTTGTCATACTCTAGAATTACAAGCGAAACACTGGCTTTTTCAGAGCAACGATAAAAAGGTGGAAAACTCTGGCTTGGCGGAGTGAAGCGAAGAAAAGCGTGTCACTGAGGATCCACACTGATCCATTCTGCGTTTGGAGAGGGAGTAGTGCTCTCCACATCAGTTGATCTAATTTAATGTACTGATATGCAGATAGCCTGGAATGCTTGTAACAGAACAGCATCGGGCTAAGCCTTGGCACTACAATCTTTTCTTTTATAAAAGATTTTTTACCAGATTTTTTGTGGGTGTGAGAATTCGACGCAGCGTTCTAAAGACTAGTATTTGCCATTTGCGACCAAGTGTCCGGCGAAGTTATTTTGTGTGTAGCAATTCTATTTTGCGAACGTCATATCACCAAGTACTGTTATATTCACCTCTACAGGTGTGCCTGGAGTGTGTTGGTGGGGTAAGGGGCGAAGGTGAACTAATCCCTAATTTCAGACAATGATAGTTCGAATTACCGTACGACCGATCCACTCTAATAAGAGTAACCTCAAGCCTACTCTTGACGCAGACCAGGCAGAATGATCACATCAGAGCCATTCGAATGATAGGGGGAGAAACAATTCACAAATAGGGTGCAACGTGTCAGCCATTCAGATGATGCAGTGATTGAAGGTGCCAGCGGAAAATCAATTTTACCACAGACATGCACTGCAGCTCAGGAACCAGATTAAAACAGACTTCAAGCTACTTCAAAGTGAACAGTAGACAGAGTGGGGAAGCAAACGGGCTGAACAAACCTACCCAGCGAACGCAATGATCAGGCGTTGGAGGAGGCGTTCTTCATCGACCGGTATGTCCTTGGCGTGCAAAAAGAAGTGTTTTCCTTCGAAAATATCCGGTAATTCTATCGGAGCTACTTCAGCCGGGGCTGCATCGTCACAAGCCTGGTCCGCACCAGCGTCCTTTGCGGGAGTGTCAAGGGCTCTGAGAAAAGATGAGAGTTAAGATTCTTCGTGATAGTATCATCTCACACTGAAAAGCTGCGTTTGTTTTGCGCTGCCAAAATCCCCCTGACCATTTTCAACTTCAACCTGCCAACAGGTTCCAACTTAGGCCCGACCAAACCGTTGTCCTGTCCTGTAGTAGACTCTATTTTCAACTTTCGATTCGCGATCATGTTCGCCGAGTAGTTGTTCGCCCCGCTGCCCTCTTTCCTGACCGACAACCTTCTCTCTCTGTGTCGCCCAAATGCAGTATCCTTGTTCTAATTCCAACGAACCGATAAGTGCTTCACCGAACTCAGCTTCCTAGTTTCAGTTCCCAAAAACATCCATAAGCAGCACTCGCCTCTTCATTCTGGCACCCCTGCTAGTTCTCACTTGACAGACAGCGGATTTTTCGTTATTTCTTCCCAGAACTACCCAAAACCCCGGAATACTATTCCATTCTGTTGTCCGAAATTCAAATAGTGCTCAACTGTTCAGGATTCGGAGCAGCCAGTTCGAAACGTCAAGCGAATTCACAAATTATCCAAACTTTCGGAACGACTTGATAGTAAATAGTGTTTCTTCTGTCTTACATGATGGCTCCCGGTAACCGGTCCCCTCTTTCCCTATAATCCATTCAATTAAGTAGAGAGAACACGTGGAATCTAAATTTCAAGCACACGCCAAACAACCTATTAGGGTAAAAAGGCGCCAGAAAAGTAAGCCTTCAGATAGTTTCACTGGTCCATCAAGCGAATAATGGTTGATAAGCTGTTTCTCCTTGATACGACATTAGGTATACGGGTTTAGGAAACGCTTCGACAGTCCACTACGACTTCAGCTGCCTTAAAGCTTACTAGGTAGGCGTGGGCTCAAGTGGTTTGAGCGCGAATTGACTGACCGGAAGGTCTGTGGTTCGAACCCGACCTCAGCTTCTCGACTTCTCCTGCCTACACTTGGGCAACCTGGCAGCATCCCAGTCCTCGTGCTTCCTTCTGATGGCATGGCAGCTAGGCACCGGAAGGGTGTTATAGCTGAACGATGGACGATAGATAGGTAGGCGTGGCCGCTTAACTTCCATGAATCTTATTTCATGTGTGAACATTAAAATGGACGTATGGAGTCAAATACCCATTTTCAAATCAGTATGGCGTCGGAATCAAATGATACATAGGACTAATATTAAATATAGTCCACCAGTTCAACTCCCCACACTCTCAGCATTGTAGCGTCTGACAATTCAACCGCGACGGTCCATTAAAGCAGAATTGATGTGAACGGGTGAAGCGTAAAGATGTATTCTACCAATGCGAACCAGTCAGTGTGATCAAACCCAATTGAATGTTCAGGTCGATCAAGATAAAGTGGTGCACGCTACTGAATTGTTGGCTGTGATGACTTGGCCGTGTTAGACAGCTTCCTATGGTTCTGCACAGCCTGAATCTATGAACGGTCTGTGTCAATAGCCTCAGCTTGCAAGTTACAATGTGTTTAATAGATCAATAGAGCTGCTGAATGACTACCATCCAGTTACTGATACAGAAAACCAGATATTGGCTGTACACAAATTGAATTTGAGATAGGGAAAGACAGCCAAGTGAGGACTGCAAGTTACTAGCTGAAGCTTATATTTATATGTCAAGTTCTAGTGAAGCAGACCCCGGGTCGTTTTTACTGTGTAGGCAGCGCAACACACCGGTCAATCGAAACAAACTCGGTAAAATAGGCCGAAGCGAATCAAAATAAACTATACGAAGGTTAAGAGTGCCCACAAGAAGCAATCAGAAATTTAGTAGAAAACAGTCAGTCACCTTTGGATTTCATCATCAGTATTCTCTTCATCAGGATCCACTGGTACCGATTGAGAGTGACCGGCTGAAGGACCTTTGGGTGAAGGAAAAAAAGTACATTTGTACAGCAACACACTGTCGACGGAAGCGTGGGGACCGGAGAATAAGATGGCTGAGAAAGACCAGAAGCACAAGTACATTTATCATAAAAGGTGTTATACATCTAAGTCATCAAAACTCTAACAGACACATTTTGTGTTTACTAAAAAGGAGTATATTGGGCTTCCTACCTTTGCGTCGAACGGGGGTCCACTCGGTCGCACCAGGCGCATTTTTTTGTCCAGATGTATCAAGCTTATCGGTGGTTTCTGCATTGAGTAACACGAAAGAGGAAAATAAGTGAGACATGCTAAACAAGGATAACTTTGTGGGCAAACCGACTCTGCAAGAGAAAGAGAGTCGGAGACCGAAGAAAGCACTGTCCACATGCAACCTACTTGAGCGTTTTGATATGCCAACGGAATCGGTCGAACGACTTGGACGTTCTGTCACTTTTTGCTTCTTCTTAGTCCCGCGATGCTTGTTTTTTCGGCTTTCGGAGTGATCATTGTCTTCCTCGTCCGATTCACCATCCGGTTCGAAATCTTCCTCGTCTGCCGATGCACTACCTTCTTCCCCCTCATCCTCGTCCTCTTCCTCTGACAGCCCTTCGCTCGCTGGCCTCCAATCTTCATCATCATCATCATCTGACTTTGCTTTTCGTTTCACTAAAAGAAGTAGAGGAAACCGAATGGCTGTCACACGGGGGGAAAGTCATAGAGTTTCCGATGGCCTTCGCATGCCGTGTCGCTGCTAAGCGTAGGGTTAAATAGATCCAAACACACGGTTTATTGGCCAAGCCTTCGAAAATATATGTAAGCATGGATCAACAGGTCCACGATCCCGGGTCCGGCAGCGCGAAGTCAGATTCTTCGGCACCGATTTGATACGCGTCAATAAGGGCCAGGATGAAAGAAGTATAGTGTTGAACATTATAGTTAAATTTACCGATCTATTGATCTCAGCGTCAAGCTAAACGGGTGGGTTTGCACGGACGTACGGTGCATAACAAACGCAGGTAATCTGTCACACTATATACGAGGAACGAAAATGCACCATCATTTGGGATTTACCCTTGTATCTATTGTTTGTTGCACGGTATCAGGGTTGCTCGTCTGTTGCAGCTTATGCAGGTTGACAGAACCCAAACAAGGAACGAAGTTGGAGCCAAGGCTATTCACTCCGTCCCGGCATCTAAATGATGTGCAATCGACGTTGACTGTGATTCTACCGGTTTTTTAATACTCGGAGGCCGAAACAAATCTTTTTCTCTATATGTTTTGGCCCTTCTCAAGCGACTGACTTTTGGAAAAGAGAAACGCTGTAGGTCATCCTGATTTCACCACAAACAGTAGATTACAGGAGTGATATTGTCCACTTTCGTACAAGTGATCAGCGAAAATTAGAATTTCATTCTGCAACTGAAATTGACTGTGCTGGGAAGGCAAGAGCTGCTCACCTACTAAAGTGAAGACATCGGGCTTGAATCTTCAAAGATATCCGTTAGATGAGCTCTGCTGGTGACATCCAAAAAGGCTGAAAAGGTCACATAGTGCTTCTCGGCATAGCATGATTACAATTGCACAAAAAGTCTTGGTTGAAGTCTCCGATTCTCTTCATACTAGCAACTAAATACTCAAGTGTAAATAGAGCCTTTGTTCACACGTGCACATCTCCAATGACACAACTCATGTGAGCATCAAATTTAAGTCTAAGGAGCTGAGTTGAAGTAAACGCGTTGAATTTACTAGCTTCAACGGATTGTGGGGGAAAATATTGGATAGTTCTTTTGCTGATCCACCCGGATGCAATGGCTTAGACGCGAAGCAAGAATAACACAGATACGTAGGCCTGCCGATCACCGTCTCAAAAAGGACGCGCAAAGCGGTCAACAAGGGTCAAGAAGGTAGCGATGCAGATGAGATGATCACGCTGATGCAAATAGTAAGCGGCTGACACGAAAAGCGATGTAGACCAGATCGATGGAGTAACGGTGCACAAACAACCGATAGCACGGAACTTACGAGATTTCCGGGCGGACGAAGGACGCTGAGAACTGCAAAACAAAGCAAAAGGTTCACTTTTTGGCGTTCTTTAGATACACGAGAGTTGAACTGCATGCAAGTGGACAGAGCGAACTCGAACCTGTCTCTCAGGTCATAATATTCTTGAGGCCTAACATTTACGCTGATTCCAGAAAAAAAAAGAAACCTGAAAGTCAGTCCAAGGGACTAATAGGTTGAATGAGTGGTATTTCTTAGGGAAACAGAGTATTAATCGATTCCGTAGATGGACAATCTTGGTAAGTGAGAGTCGGTCACCATCCAGGCATTGCATAAATAGGTCAGAAAATGTCTAAAATCCGCGGCAAATTAAAAGAAAGTAAAAATTGGCAAGTTGGGAATACTACCGAATAGAACTGGACTTCAATAAAGATAACTACTGTGACGGTTGTTTTCCTACCGAATAATCCTAACAAATTAACAAACTTTCATTGGTTTTCAATACTTCCCACCCGATAGGAACTTCCGCAAGAAATGATGCAGTAACGCAAACTAAGATTTTGCCGAAGTAAACTGAACAGGTTTATGTAAAATTTGTCTAGCTGGACTTCTTGATTGATAATGTATGAGGAACTACAGAAGTTTCACCTGACAAGACACGTTACAGGCTCTGTTCACGAACATTATTTCCGTGGAAGGATGCCTTTTTGCGACCACTACTATTTTGCACCATATTCATCACTACTGCAATGAGAAGACAAATAATCATTGTTGCGGTCTTGAACCAATAGCCACGTTTACCTCAACACTAACGTATAAGAAACCGCAACGGTGTTCGGGGAAACGCAACATCCAAGCGACGGTTTTCTATTTCAGTTGTGGTACTCTTTTGGCGTATAGCTGTCATCCAGTCTAATTAAAGGCTAAAGTAATACGACAGAGATGTGAAGGTGGGTACCACCATGCGGCAGCAGACATTCAATTGCATTTGTCAACAGTTTTACTAGAGTACGTTATGTTAAATTAGTTTTGCCACTGTACATCGGGTTTTGAACGCTAAGCAAAACAAGGTCTGATTAGCGTAAAACGACCAAAACCATCCACCTCAATTCAAATTGTTCAGTGCGGTGATCTCACAGATAGCTTCGCTCAATACATGTCCCTATTTGTGCTGTGAAACACAACTGTTGATAGGTTGATGTCTCACCGGATTGTACTATCTAGATAAGTTTTTGACAATGGACCGTATACGCGAGCACAGTGTCTTTACACGTGTATACAAAAGGTATCAACAAAAGTCAAAGTCCCATGAATGCGATGTGACAACCGTTAGTAAGTTGATTCATAGAGATCCAGGTATGAGTAATATCTTTTCACCTCGCATTCCAAGTTTTGGAGATCAGGCTGAAATCAACAAGATTCACGCAATATGAAGTTTAACATAGATGGTAGGCTATCAACCAAAAGGAATCTTATTAGGCCCCCAAGTTCTGATTCACAGCTGAGGTTCTGAAAGGATTTACAGGATCGCTATATCGAACCAACCCCCACCCATGTCGAGTACTGCAGCTTTTAAATGCAGTAAAAACACTTCATGATTATTTGGTTACCTGGATGGGGACTCTTTAGTTCCATCGTCTGGAGTTGTCGCTACAGCATCATCTGCGATATTCGGAGGACTTGGAGCTCGGCCAACACGATACGGCCGCCAGTTGACCTTGGACTTCTTCATATAACATTCCTGAATCCACTTATCTGAAACTATAATGCCCTTGCCTTTGACCTCTTTGAATTTCGGCGTGTTCGCGAAGGCGCATCTTCAATGAGGGGTATCGTAAAAAAAAAGAAAATTTCTCGTTTAGTGAAATCAGTCCGCGCGGCAGGTTGTTGATTGAATGTTTTTCATATTACTTTCCAGATCATAGTAGTTCATGCGTACAGCATAAAATTGATGTGGGTTGCCGGTGAACTGGTCGATTTACGGGGAAGCCAACAGGCCCTGCAGAGACAAAGTAACCAGCTCTTTATGAATGTGTATAATTTGGGTAATTTAACAGATAAACAGTTTACTAAAATCAAGTATGTTGGAGCATAGATTAACCGTTATATAGACATGGGCGGTGAAATGCGACTAGGTCAATTATACAACCGTCAAACCTGACCAAAATTCAACTATCAGATTACAGTCAAAAACTCACATCAAATGAGTGCAACTAGGTCCCCAGTCTTGGCGAAAACTGGCACCTAAATCCAAAGCCTTCTCCCTCAATTCACTGCGCAAAGGGTTTTGATAGCCACTCAAACAGAAAACAACACCATGAAGAGGACGAGAAGAGGTTGGGTGACTACCACCACGGCTTGGTGAAGAAGGTGGAGACTGGGACATTGCGGAGGATACTGAAGCTCCAGTTGATTGCTGTTTAGAATTTGCAACTGAGGAGCGATGGGACGTAGGGTTATGGGTTGATGGGTTGACTGCTTGGCTTGTCGTGGAGCGCGCAGAACTGGAGGAAGGCAAATTAGCTGAGGTTAAGGAGTGCTTCGGAGAGAGACGCGGACGGCTTGATGGGGCGGTGATGGGCGTGGATGCAGGGGATCTTGATGCTAAAACAGATTTTGGTCTGGACAGTAAGAGGTATTACGACAAAATGTGGAAGGATTATGCGAATTGATAGGAGGAAGCTGATGATATGATGGTAAACGAGAGCCGGCCACCATCCAGGCATTGTATAAATAGGTCGGAAAATGCCTAAAATCTGCGGCAAATTAAAAGAAAGTAAAAATGGGCAAGTTGATAATACTATCGAATAGAACGGGACCTCAATAAAGATCACTACTGTGACGGTTGTTTTCCTACTGAATAATCCTAACAAATCAACAAACGCTTATTGGTTTTCAATACTCCCTACCCGATAGGAACGTCCAAGAGAAATGATGCAGAGATGCAAATTGTGGAAGGCTTATGCGAATTGGTATGAGGAAGTTGATGATATGATGTAGTGGGAGAGACAAGAGAGTACGCCGAGGGCAACCTCGAAAGGCATGTTAGTTCGGTGGAAACTTTAGTAGTTTACTTAATTAGTAGTAGTAGTAGCTATCACCCTCCAAACGACTGCCCGCTTTTCCCAGTATTCGATATTTGAATCCGTGGGTCCGGGTAACATGAGCTGTTTGACTAATAACCCCTTGGTCAATAAGTGTGAAGTAGACAAGCCAAGTCTAATACAAGTTTAGCCGATTGGGTACCAGTATTTGAAATCCAAACTATACTACGCGTAACTCAAATGAAAGAACTCGAAGTAATGAGCAATCAGCCGTCTGCGTGTGATCAGAAGTGACGATCCGATTTTCCGGAAGTAGAATACCCCGTCTGTATCCACTGGTTTATCATTCTTAGAACGAAAATCGGTGTAAGCTTCAGCTAGAAAACAAAATCTAGCCTCAAAAGATACAGAACGGTGCCAAAGAGGACTACGAATAATCAGGCAACAGGGACTGTCAACTGGGGCTGTTTACAATCCATCAAAGCAGTGGAATGTTGCTACATAGTTGAATGAATGAACAATAGTGAAGAGTTGACGTTCAACACCGTCGTTGTGGTTGTCAGTTGAGAAAGTAACCTGACTAAGGTAGTCGACACAGGGTACACACCGCTGTGAGAAGGTTACGACAGGTTGAGTGCGTACAGTGCTAAGGTGGTCCATACGAAAGGGATAGCGAAGACGAAAGTATGTTCTTTAATGCCGATGATAATGGTGACGATGAGGTCCCAAGTTAAACCTAGCATCACGTACAGGCAAAGGACGCTCAACTACAAAACAAGTGAACTTTGAAGTTCAATTAACTGCTCAGTAGTGGTGTCGATATTCTATGGATGGATTGGCAGATGGCATAAGTGAATGGTGAGACCACATATAACCGTCAACAACTACTAACTCCGAACACAACGTAATCTTTGCAATACAGAACAGACAAGAAATTGCAAACGAATTAAACAGTTTCCAAGGGAACAAATTGACCCAATGCCCGATTTCGCTAAGATAACAACGGTGTCTCATTCAAACAGAATAGACAAAAGCAACGTCGAGCTTGTCTTTCTATGAAAGGCACCACTCGCTGCATCCTTATACTCAGTAAGCCTGGCTGTTCGAGGCAATCACCACATGCACATAATTTGTGGTACGATGGTGACATAGCGGTGAAATGCTGTCTCCAGTGCAGAAGACTGCAAGCCGTAGGAGTTGAGTGATATAAAGTAAGGTAGGCAGGTAAACCTTTTCCAACCTGGTTAAGTGATCAGAGTACGGGAAGAGAAATCCAACACGAGCAATAGACGTACTCACCAGAGAGTATTTCAGACCTCCCGGAGTGCCTCGCGGCCAGTAGCTTCTCAGCGACTGTATAAGGAACCGTTAGAGTGAACAACGAGGAATACCTGAGACGGGCTGAGCGACAGAATTTGTTGGGGCGGCTAGGGACGACGAAGCGGCGGCTTTTGCAGCCTGAAACAATGCACCAGGACGGAGGCCTGGTGGTTCTTCATCGTCACCTACGTCAATCATAGCGTCGCTAATCAAAGCCTGACGACGAATAAGTAGAGTCAAAAAGGCTTACTTTTCTATTAGAAGTCGTTTCAGGTTGCTGGCTGCTCAAAGCGGGAGAATGAAAACTAACAAAAGAGATCCCATATTGAAGGTTTTTATTGAACGGCTGTGAGCACACGAACCGAAACACGTCCCATTTTTGGCTTGCGACAGAGCTTGTCAGCTGATCACCACTGAAGACCCGCACACGGTTTAGATTGCTCTCATTTTTGGCCTCCACGGGTGAAAGAAATGAAGATGAGGGTAAAAGGACCTAGAGACAGTTAGGGACATGGTGGCGAACAATTATAGGTTACCGAAGGATCATCTGCCGACGCGGATCGCCGGACGAGCACTTCGATGAAGGCTGAGCCATTATTCCCGATATCCAAACGGCATACTTCTACAGGTTCTTCGAACTACAGATCCACAAAGAACTTAAAGAAAGGACTAAGCGGCGAACCTACGTTAAGTTCAACAACTTCCTGTTTGGTACCACCCTTCTCCGATCGCCATTTGGAAAAGGAGGAGGCCTTCAGTAAATTTGAGGCGGGGAAAGCCTAATTTGGGGATGGGTTAGGGATAAGAAAAACCAAATGGAAGGTTAAACAGAGCGAACATGTTGCAAGAGAACTTGACAAGGATGGGATGCATCGTGAGACACACAATGTATCGATACCCTGCGGACGCCATACCAAGTTCTAGGTCAGAATTACTAGATCCTTTTTCGCTACGTATGAAACTTGGAAATGAAGGCAAGTGTTATGCTAATCAAGATGCCAAGACCAATTAGATCAGCCATTCGACTGCCTTGAACTGGGAATATAATGGTTTGGTGAGTCGTAGTACAAGATTGCATGGTACAATGAATGAGGAACCTTGTGCATACCGGTACATTTTCTACTGTTCCCGTGAGCCTATCATTTAAAACTCCGTGGGGCTTGAAGAAGTCTTGATGAACCAGACGTAGGACATAAGGCACATTCCCACGATGCTGAAAGCCTTTCCAAAATGGATCAGCCAATATGAAGCGGCGGATGATTTGCTGAGTTCGACTGATGAGCATGTAGGTGAGTATGTCTAGGTTGCTAATGTCCTGATACAACGTGCTTTACAAATATTGAGGATTGAACACTCGTATTAATCGCACCAGAAGAGCTAATTCTGTTGTCTTCAGAGCCCCATATTATTGGTAGAACACTGTAGCTTACTGTTCCATGCAAAGAGATCATTATTTTCCTGCGCATTTATTCTTCTCCGGACATACCTGTGGCCAGCAACACGGCTGTTGCGCGCCCTCAATTTGGTTAAAAAATAACAAAACGGTAGTAATCCGTCTCTGCTGCAGCCGAAAAAACGCAGATTCGATAAAATAAGATAGATTACTGCACGGTGAACGTGGAACCACCTACGGCCTCGGAGGTTTATGACTGCATATGTTCTCTCAAGCGCCACCGAGCTCCTGGTCCGGATGACCTTCCACCCGCAATGTTCAAAGACGGGAGTGAAGTCCTTAGCCATCGCTTGTCCGATCTGTTTGCTTGCATCTGGGAAAAAAAGTCTGTCTCAGACAACTGAGGAGAATCGGTGATAGTGCCCGTTTTCAAAAAGGGGCTCACAGTGAATGTGGGAACCACAGGGGGATCAGGTTAACTCTGGTTGCAACGAGACTGTTGGCGTCAATTGTACTTTGTCGCCTTACGGTGGCTCGTGAGATACTGTTTCGAGAGCAGCAAGCGGGACTCTGGTCTGGTAGGGGGCGTTGTGTTAACCAAGTCTTCACACTGCGTCAGGTGCTAGAACAACGCCATCCGTATAAGCGACCCACAATTCTAGTATTCATGGATTTCCGAGGCGCATTCGACTCGGTTGATTGGTTTGTTCTTGAGACGCTTGCCTGCCAAGGAATGCCCCGGAAGTTAGTAAACATAATACGTTCTTTGTATACTCAGACATCCGGACGTGTGAGAGTTTACGGAGAGCTCTGCAAAAGCTTCCGTACACAAAACGGTGTCCGTCAGGGATGCTCACTCTCTCCATTCCTTTTTTAACTTCGTGATCGATGAACTAATGAGACGAACGCTGAAGGGTCTCCAAAACCCTGGTGTTCAAATAGCCTGTGAAGAAAACCTTGTCGATCTGGAATATGCAGACGACATCGTTCTCATGTTCGAAGAGGAGAGGGCGCAAGTATTCTTGGATGAACTGACCAAAGTCATCCCATCCTTTGGAATGCACTTTGCACCTACAAAGTGTAAGGCCATGCTCATGGACGTGCAGTCACTGAACACGCCGCTTACAATCTAGAGGGAGGCGTTTTACGTATCCTGAAAGTTGTATTAATTCCAAGTGTAGTGTGGCAGATGAGGTGAATGCACGAATCTTCAAGGATCGGATCGCGTTCGCTAATTTGAGACACCTATGGCGTCAGAGTGATTTATCCCTTAAACTCAAGGGACGTGTGTATCAAGCTACAGTACGGGCTGTTTTGTTGAATGGATGTGAGAGTTGGCCTATTCGAGCAGCGGAACTGAGACGTTTTCAGGTGTTCGACAATCGTTGTCCCAGAACCATAGCTCGTGTGGGTTAGTGTCGGCGAATCCGCAATGAAGCAGTTAGAAAGCGCGTTTTCGGTTGTGCAACGGGTATTTCCATTGAAGAAGGTGTCCAACACTAGAAGCTGCGTTGGTTGGGACATGTGTTGTGTATGCCGAAACAGTGTTTGCCGAAGAGAGTGCTGTTTTCCATGCGTAATTCAGAGTGGATTAGGCAGAGGGGTGGCCAACCCTTGACTTGACAGAGATATGAAAGAAATTACGATGCTATCGATGCTACTCGCCTTCCAGGATGATGACAGCGGGAACATCATTGTGCCTGGTTGGAGATTTCGAGAGCAGCAAGCGGGACTCTGGTCTGGTAGGGGGCGTTGTGTTAACCAAGTCTTCACACTGCGTCAGGTGCTAGAACAACGCCATCCGTATAAGCGACCCACAATTCTAGTATTCATGGATTTCCGAGGCGCATTCGACTCGGTTGATTGGTTTGTTCTTGAGACGCTTGCCTGCCAAGGAATGCCCCGGAAGTTAGTAAACATAATACGTTCTTTGTATACTCAGACATCCGGACGTGTGAGAGTTTACGGAGAGCTCTGCAAAAGCTTCCGTACACAAAACGGTGTCCGTCAGGGATGCTCACTCTCTCCATTCCTTTTTTAACTTCGTGATCGATGAACTAATGAGACGAACGCTGAAGGGTCTCCAAAACCCTGGTGTTCAAATAGCCTGTGAAGAAAACCTTGTCGATCTGGAATATGCAGACGACATCGTTCTCATGTTCGAAGAGGAGAGGGCGCAAGTATTCTTGGATGAACTGACCAAAGTCATCCCATCCTTTGGAATGCACTTTGCACCTACAAAGTGTAAGGCCATGCTCATGGACGTGCAGTCACTGAACACGCCGCTTACAATCTAGAGGGAGGCGTTTTACGTATCCTGAAAGTTGTATTAATTCCAAGTGTAGTGTGACAGATGAGGTGAATGCACGAATCTTCAAGGATCGGATCGCGTTCGCTAATTTGAGACACCTATGGCGTCAGAGTGATTTATCCCTTAAACTCAAGGGACGTGTGTATCAAGCTACAGTACGGGCTGTTTTGTTGAATGGATGTGAGAGTTGGCCTATTCGAGCAGCGGAACTGAGACGTTTTCAGGTGTTCGACAATCGTTGTCCCAGAACCATAGCTCGTGTGGGTTAGTGTCGGCGAATCCGCAATGAAGCAGTTAGAAAGCGCGTTTTCGGTTGTGCAACGGGTATTTCCATTGAAGAAGGTGTCCAACACTAGAAGCTGCGTTGGTTGGGACATGTGTTGTGTATGCCGAAACAGTGTTTGCCGAAGAGAGTGCTGTTTTCCATGCGTAATTCAGAGTGGATTAGGCAGAGGGGTGGCCAACCCTTGACTTGACAGAGATATGAAAGAAATTACGATGCTATCGATGCTACTCGCCTTCCAGGATGATGACAGCGGGAACATCATTGTGCCTGGTTGGAGATGCTGCAAGACATGGTTGCTAATCGATGTCAATGGTGCTCTTGCTGCCAGTTTCTATGCGGATTGTCTGAATGAGTGTCTGAAGATGTAGGCACCTCGGAATGATTGTAGTAAGCTAACAGTAAGTTCTTTGTCCATCCAACTTCAGTATTGTGTTCACAAAAAGGCGTTCAAATAAGATATGACTGTATGGCAGTGAAACATCACTGCTGATCACTGATGTGATGCTGTCAACGATCATGGCGAAATATTTAGAAATAAAACTACTTATCGCCAGTTACTTCTCCAGTTTTTACGACCGACAGAGTCAAGGGCAGTCTACGGCTGAATAAAAACTAGCATCGACAGCACCCAGACTTTTGTAATTGCCTTGGAATCCCTGCCAGGTGAGTGGTCGACCACCACTGTTCACGACACTCAATTGACCGCAGAAACGGCTATCCACCCAGCAAACGATGGTTCGTAGCGCGAAATACACGAAAAACCCGTCGTACCTTCTGGTCCTGGACACATTATTCCAATAAAATGCCTGATACACAACCGAACACTCGCTTTCTAACTGTCACGTTACGGACTTGCTGGCACCAGCAGACACTCCAGTTCTGTTGCTCACAGAAGCTACGTTCCACAAAAATGCGGAACAGCGCTTCCTGTGGCCTGATCTACACTACCCTTGAGATTTAGGCATATACCGTTTTGCTACTACAGGTGTCTCAAATCAACAGATCCCAGGTTTAAGGATTCGTGCATTAACTTCATGTTTCACATTAAAGTCGACGCTTACAAAACTACCAATTCACGTAAAAGTTTCAACCACCTACAATGTCTCTCTCTGAATTGTGTGGTGTGTTCAGTAACTGTATGCCTAGAAGCATGGCCTCACACATTGCGGGTGCAAAGCGCATGCCAAAGAACGGGATGTTTAATGAGTTCATTCAGAACTGTTACTTCATTTCCCCTACGAGAACGAGGACGATGTTTGCATATCCAGAACAATTGCATGGTCATAATCCGCAAATGTTCTAAAAGGAGCCAAAGCTGGTTACTAATCTACGTCATCGGTAACTGATGGCGATGTGATCAACTTGGTTCCGCGGCTAGCACGCTGTTGAGGGACATCAAAGAGCAAGTTTGGTTTATTCCATTAGGTAGCACTGTATGAAAATAGCTTACAATCACCACACAGCTGGAGCAGCCACCTGCCGTTTTCCAATCCAATGCGACTACCCAATCGAGTCGCAGATGTGCTAAGGTAGTCCTTTTGGGCACTTATATCCCTGAAGAACACAGCGACATCTTTAACTTCTGGTTGGAAGTAACGGGGGATTCAAAGCACCATAAAATTTCTTTCGTGGTATCAGAGGTACGATCCGTTGGAGCGTGAGCAGACACATTAAATAAAAACGATCAACTTCTCAATCGAGGGATACCATCGCGAAAATTGCGAGACAAATCACACAGAAGCGACTAGTAACGAGTATCCAGTCAAGCAAGGATCCTTCCGCTCGGTGA